AAAAAAAAAAAAAAAAAAAAAAAAAAAAGGCTCCCTTCTACTTGATTCCATTTATAGGACATTCTGGAAAATTCTGTCCCTGCAAACAGAAAGCAGATCAATGGCTTCTGGATGCTGGGGGAGGAGCTGACTACAGAGGGGCACATATATTTGGGGAGCGGGGAATCATAAAGCCATGGCGTTTATGAGACAGCACTTTTGTCAACAGAAGGCACCCAAGAGGTTGACTGTACTCTATGTAAACTGTACCTCAATTAACCCGACCTTAAGGGTAAACGAACAAATCAATCACTAATGACGAGCCACCCTAAGGAACCCGAGGTCGCTGACCGGTGGGGACAGGTTTCAACCATCTCCCGGCCCCCGGTCGATGAGCCGCCGGCCTCTGCTGTGGTCAAGACACTTGTCGTGTGCCTTCCAGGGGCCAGGCCCGTGAGCAAAACGAAGAGCCCACGACGTGGCCCGCATTCCCTGGGAGAGAGGGGGGCATCGCTGTACTCTCACTGACCTTAATGAACTCCAGTTTCAAATATTCTGCCATCTGGAAGGTTTTACACACTCGAAAAATGTTGCCAATGATGTCTTCCGGTGAATAGCCAAGATGCCACAGGTGAGCGAGAATCTAAACAGGAAGAGACGAGGTGGTGACAAGGGTACGGGGCGGGGGGGCGACAAGAAGTTGAAGCCACACCAGTCTTGGGTCCGTCACACCGCAGGGAGTGGACGGATCATCTTGGGCAACCCAGTGATCCAGGGGAACGGCCAGCGGGCAGACCCTCCAGATCGCCTGGGGGGTCATGAGTTTCCCAACAAGCAGAGAGAATATCACAAATGTTTTATTGTTTATTTATTTACAGTAGGCTCCATGCCCATGTGGGGCCTGAACTCGGCACCCTAAGATTAAGAGTCGCACGCTCTATCGACAGAGCCAGGCAGGCGCCCCAACATCACAAACGTTTGAAAAAGCATTGCGTGGTCTGCTACAACAGCCACGTAGTATTTTTATCCAAGGCCCCCAAAAAGCCGTATGAATCATCCCAGCGAGTCCTGGGGGAAGAGGCAGAACCATCTGTCTGCTGTGCCCTCCGGAGCTGCAGGTCACGAGGTGCTCCCCCTGCAAGCCGAGCCTCGAACAAACCCCCACTGGAGCCGAGTTCTCTCCACCTCTTGCCCTCACAACCCCAGGCCCCAGTTCCAACCCCACCCGGCCCACCCAGACTGCGGGGTCCGGGCTCAGTTGTTTTCTTTGGTGGCATCCTGGGACGGACACAGAGGGTAAGGAAGCTGAGTGTTCATAAATCTGAAGGCTGCCTTTATGAAGGCTGTGTGTTGGGGTCTCTGCCCAGGTCTCCCCTTCGGGTTTGCGTTACGTCTGGCCCCTAAACCCAGTCCACCTCTGGCCTAGTTTGCTGGCAGCCGGGTGTGGGGGACCTCCCAGAATCGGGTCAATGGACTTAAATCGTACCACTGCCGCCCTGGTGGACCTGAGGGTCACCGGCACCCTGAAGATGCCCCCTGGAATCTGCACTTGGGACTGGACTCCATAGTGAGTCTAGAAGTCCCCGGTCCTGCCTCTCCTGGACGACCAGGGGCCACTGGGTCCCAGTGAGCCATCCCCACACTCTTCAGGCAGGGCCAGAGGATGAAGTCTCCCTCCGCAGAAAGATGGTGTCACTGACACGTAAGGAGTTGGGCTGGTCTTGGGTCAACAAAGTCCCCTCGTGGGGGATGTAATTATAGTACAAGTGTGTGTGATTCTGAATCGCAGGTTGAGTGCTTGTCAGCGGTGGGATTTAGAGCAAGAAATTCAGTCTCCCACAATCAGTTCTCCCCTCTGACGCGTACCCAACTCCTAGTCTTATTCTAAGAATTACGTGGAGGGGGCGCCTGGGTGGCTCAGTCGGTTAAGCATCTGCCTTCAGCTCAGGTCATCATCTCCCGGTTTGTGGGTTCAAGCCCCATTTTGGGTGAGCAGAAGGCCCCCTTAAGGTGAGCCCCGCTTTTCGCTCTCTCT